CCAATGTCACTAGGTGCTCTCAATAGCATTAAGAAACAGGAAACCCTGTGCAGCTCAAAGATCATGTGACACTGGCTGTGCTTCCTGGGAGCTCCTGAGATGGGCACTTCCTTGCCCCAGGTAGAGCTCTACTCTGAGCAGCTCCTGGCTGCCAGTCCTCCTTATAACAGGGGAAGATGTTACAGTTTCTTCTCCCAATTGCTGCTGACCTGAATATTGTTACATTGTTGTGCTATACCTAACTTTTAAATAGTGCTGTTGTAATCCATCCTTTGTTATTTTTTTGTTTTTGCCCCACCTCCAAAACTGAGTTTAACAATTCACAATTGACTTAACACTGTAAAATCTATTACTGTAATTTCCCACTTGACTAAAGGGAAAAACCATCAGATGCACAAAAAGTATCTAATAAAACACAACATTCATTCATGATAAAAATTTTAGTAACCAGCTACAAAAAGGATCCTTGATAACTTGGAAAAGTGCCTGAAAAACCCACTGCAAATACCTGCTTACCCTAGAAGCATCTTCTTTAAAAACCCAAAAATGAGACAACGATGCCGCTCGTGCTCATGAGAGGCCGCAGCAGCCCAGGTGCATCCCTGCATGTGGTGTCCACTCACCGAACACCATCCCAAAGGCTGCTAAACGAGGTAAGCGTGCATCTCTCCTGCGGAGTCCAGGGCCACCTCCAGAGCGGCCTTCGCCACCCATGTGCAGAAACAAGGGCATGTTGAAGGTAGAGATGAGTCCATGGTTCCTCGTTCTCACAAAATTTCAAAGTACGACCTGGGAAAAATAGCATCCCTTGAATGTTTACAGGGATAATACAGTCATTTGGTTTGGCTTTTACAAAAACATATACTCATTTTATCACCTCTGAAATTTAACATCTTTATATCATTAGCCAGGTCAATTTAATTAGCTGCATTATTCTTTCTCAGTTGATGGATATCTGACATATGATATGGACCACCAGAAACAGCAAAAACTGTGTATGTGTGTTTAGACAAAACTTTTTAAAAAGTGAAAAGTTTAGCTCATCTGGGTAGCATTATTTATAATGTGCCAGGAAAAATGTGGCCCATTTATTTAGACAGGCTTCCCAAGATCACCCACCAGGTGGGAATGAGGGACCCTGAACCCACAAAGAAGACTGGAGAAAATTCTGCCCATCTCCTGCACCTGCACCTGGTTTGTGACTCGGCTGATGCTTGCTGCATTGCACCTCAGCAAGGCAGAAATGACATTGTGCTCTAAACACCTGCTTTTACCTCTTCTGTGTATTCGGAGGCAGTACTGCCAAGACATGTTTTCTCCCATGTAAAACACATGTCCTTGCAGAAGCAGTGGACACCATGGTCTCACCACCCAGCTTAAGAAGCCGGGTCACCAAGTCCCCAGGAGGAAGCCCTTTACCCTCCAGATCTTTGATATCATTCAGAATCTGCTAGTCAGATTTTAAGGAGTACCATTAGCAGGACTGACCAGGCCCCACCCTTTGAGTGGTTCTCAGACATAGTGCCCAGGGCCAAAATTAAGTCTCCATAGGCCCAGAGGGTGCAAGGCTAGGGCAGGTGGCCCACAGGGACTCTGAGGCCTGACCCTGTGCCAGGACACATAAGCCCTGCCACCCTCCCAGAATGTGACCCTGAGATTAATAGCATCAGGGGTGTTTCTCAGGGCCCAGGTGGGATTCTGGTCACCTGGACCCATACAGCCTATTCATTGGATCACTCATTTAATGTGACAGATGAGACACCCATGCATCAGGGGCTAGTGTTGATAGAATCCCTTGCATTCTAGCCATATGCATTCTGGCCCTGCCAGAGGTCACCCACAGTCCACACCATTCCACCACCTACCTACTCTGTGTCCTGGACCGTGCAGCCCAGCACCTTCAAAGAGACATGGTCTGTCCTGAATGGCTCTTGGAACCAACTTGTCAGGTGGCCTTCCTGACTCCCAGGGTCAGGGCAGTGTCTCCAAGTCCACCAGCAGTAGCCCAGCATGGGCAGCTGAAAGGGTACAGGCAGGGGGCCAGGGCTCTGAGTTTGAAGGTGTCTGTCCATAAGATAAGGGGCAGGCAGAGGCCCCAGCTTCCCTTCAGAGTCATGATGGGTGAGTCCTCTCACAGCGGCCCTGGGCTACCTCTGGCTCCCATAGGCCTCTGACCTGGAGACAGACCATCTGAATTCAGGAGATGGCCTGAAGGTTCACAGAGCCCCAAAGGCTGCCTGGGATCCTCAGAAACCCAAATCCTGCAAGAAGGCTGACAGGCAGCAGCCCTCTCTTTAGAAAAGCCTCAGTCTTGATATGTTTGCCTTAGCCTTGTCCAGAAAGCAAACACTGTTGGGCAACAGAGTACCTGCTGGTGCAATAAGCAGGGTATGCACGTCCAGCTCACTGGACCCCCCAGAGCTGGCTCATGGAGTAGGGGAGGCCTGGGCACCAGAATCTGGATAACATTGGCTCATTGGGGGCCTGGGGAGAGCGTCCCTGGGTAGGTATGTGGGGTCAGAAATGGTTACAGAGAGACAAACTAGCAAGCTCATCACTCACTTGTTAGCCCTGGGCACTGACTGTCCCATTCCAGAGCACTATAGAGTCACTTTTGTGCTCTTGACCAGCATATACCACCCGGAGACCAGCCACAAGGTGGAAGGGCTGTTTGTGTAGACCTGCTCCCCTGGAATGGGCACTGGATGCTCTTTTCCTCCTGTGTTAGTTTCAGGATTATTTTCTCAAAAGTCACATTGGGCATGGTGACTTGACCCTGTAATACCAGCACTCAGGAGGCTGAGGAAAAAGAATTGTGAGTTCTGCGGTAGACAGTGTTACATAGTGAGACCCTATCTCAAAAAAAAAAAAAATCACTACCATTGAGCCAGAAAACTTGGCCCTGACTTGTCCTGTGCCCCTCAGGGCTCTCAGATTGAGAACAAACTGAAATACAGATGGTCCTTAAAAGGCTGCTGCCCAAGCACTGGTCACTTACATCTGTAATCCTAGCTACTTGAGACACATGCCTGTTAGTCTAGCAACTGTGAAAAGGGTAAAATAGGAAGATCATGGTTCGGCAGGCCTAGGCAAAAACCAAGAACCTCTCCAAAATAACCAGGGCAAAAAAGGCTGTGGTACAGCAACCGCCTAGCAAGTGTGAAGCACTGAGATCAAATCACAGTACCACAAAAAAAGAAAGAAAAAAGTGCCAGGTGAAGTCCTGATTGATTCTGGCTGCTGCTGAGCCTCCAAGCCCCTCACCATCCCGCACTTCAGCATTTACAGACTGAGGGAGGGTCTGTGCCCTTGAGAATTGTGGCTGGAACTGGGTTTGAATTTAAACACTTCGGACTTGGGGACATCTGGCTTCTGATGACAGGCAACTTCCCCTCCACCTAGCCTTTACTCTCCATGGCTATCACTCCAAGAACTGGGTTCATTTCACTTCAAAAACTCAACACAAAGGTTGAGTATGGTGGTGCACTTCTCTAATCCTGGCTAAACAGGAGGTAGAGGTAGGAGGATAGCAAAAACCCAAAAGCACAGCTGAAAAATAGACTAAAGCAAAAAGTGCTGGGGGCATGGCTCAAGTGGTTGAACGCTTGCTGCCCTAAGTTCCAACCCCAAAACTGCCAAAAAAAAAAAAAAAATCGCAAGTTTCCGTTTTCCAGGAGACATGAAAAAGAATGTCTAGTGGATATCAACAGGCGATTTCACATAATACTATCTTTGCAACTTCGAGAGTTTTAATCACAGTAGAGGGACACGGTGAAGTTCATAGGGCTGCAGTTTTGCTGTGGTGCAGTTCCACCTTGCTTGCTGAGTAACCACGTCCATACAGCCAGCACCCTTTGCAGTCCAGTACCTCCTCTGCAGCCCAAGGCAGCAGCAGGGAGGAGGGGTTCGTCCACTGTGCCAGGGCTATGGTCCCCGGGTGACCTCCTCCCCACGGCTGTGAGCTCACAGCACACTCCAGGCTTAATCCTCGAAACTGTGGCTGAAGCCAACAGGCGGGTTTTTCATCCCATCGACAGGAGCCCCTGGGACCCTAGTGGCTCACAGAACAGCTCAGATCACTTCTTTTCTTCCCAGGTAAAGGCCGCTGGAGCCCAACGCCTCGCAGAGACGCAGCAGAATAACCAGCGGGTCCTTGGCCCCGAGTTAACCCAAGTGCTTTTGAACCGACCTAGGTCCCCCGCCTCCCATTGGGAGCACAGCCAGGGGCTCACCCTGCAGTTCCTCGTCTTCACCGGCCGGCAGGAGGCGCAGCTCGGTCCCCACAGCCGCGTCCCCAGGAGCCCAGCAGACCCCTCCGACCACCGCCCTCACTTTGGCCCCTGGGGCCTGCGGCCATCGGACGCTCCCATGTTGCCACGGATGCAGCGTTTGGCTCTCAGGCTCCTTGAACTGTATATAATTTCAAAAAATGAGAAAACAGTCCCTAAAATTAGCGTAAAAGTTTCCATTCGGGCACAACGTAACAAATCTAAGTGTGAATAGAATTCGTAAGTTTCTTTCTAGCAGTCTTGACACCGGTTTTTTATTTTAATGTCTTTGCTCCTGAATTTGTTGCTTGCTGAAGCCCTCATAGATCGTAATCTCGTAAATCCTCCGTGGATACGGTCACCTGGGGCGTCAGAGAAGATGAAGGTCAGCTCAGCAAATCTCAAAGTACTTCGTCCGCTGCTTTGCATGAAGCAGGAGGATCTGTTTTGGTCCATTTCGAGGGCGCCGCCTTTCAGGGCACAGTTTGGCACGAACATCGTTTTTAGGCAGTTTTAAAATCTTTGCAAAATGTCCACAAGTAGGATTCAGGCATCAAATTAACATCGTATTAACAACAAAAACGAAAAAACAAAACCTAAAAGTGTCTCCAGAAGGCCAGAGGTTACCAGGGACAGTGGCGGGTACGCAGGGCCGGGCGCAGGGCCGTCCAATCTGTCAGAGTCCGGAATGAGGGCCGACGCTGCCGCTCCCCGACAGACCCCGGCCACTTCCTAAGATAAGTAGTACATGCCATAGGCGGCGACCGGCCGCGCCAGGATCCCGGGCACCACCGCGCCTCCGAGCGCGGGCGCGGAGCCGTGCAGCGGGGCGCCCAGGGGGAAGGGCAGGGCGAACGAGGGCAGCAGTGGCTTGGCCGCCAGCTTCAGCTTCTCCAGCTCGGCCTCCTGCAGTCGCTTGGCCTTGGCCCGACGGTTCTGAAACCAGATCTTGACCTGCGTCTCGGTGAGGCTCAGGCTGCTGGAGAACTCGGCGCGCTCGGCAATGGACAAGTACTGCTTCTGGTGGAACTTGCGCTCCAGCGCCAGCAGCTGCGTCGTGGTGAAGGGCGTCCGCGGCTTGCGGTTGTTCTTGTGTTTTCGGAGGGTGCAGGATGGAGGGCTGGGGGCACCTGAAAGGAAACAGAAGCACAAAGCGCGCGCTCAAACGTCGGCAGGCGGTGCGCCCCTGTCCGGGCAACTGCCAGCCGGTTGACTGCGGCCCCCAAAGACCAATAGGGTAAGCGAAGCCAAGCCTGGGGAAACGGTGCAGGGAGAGATGGGCCACTGTGAACTCGGGCCCTGCTGCCCAACCGCTGCCCTGCACTCCAGAGAGGACAAGGACTCCGATCACTTGAACAAACGTGAAGCTCGGGCGGGAAGCCGCTGCAAGGGCTGCAAATGTTAGCTATCGCGGGGACGCACGAGGCCCACCAGGGGATGCTCAGGCAAGAAGGGCCCAGAGCAGAGAAGCTTTGGGGTCCTTGGCTGCAGACCCCACCTCAAAGAGGGACAGAGCTTGGCGGGTTTGGGACGTGGGAGTGGTTGGGGGGGCCGTGCGCGCTGCCGGGCTTTGGTGTGCTGTTTCCTTCGCACTCGCGCTGGGCGCGTCGGTTACTAGTAACTTCTGCGTTACGAGCGACAGCGCCCTTCCCGCCCTAGTCTTCCTAGCCTGTCTGGGAGGGCGCCTCTCAGGGCCCGGGACCGCGAGGCAGGGCACTTACGTGGGGGACACGCGCGAGCGACCGGCGGGAGCCAGGCTCCGGGCTCCGCGGCGCCCTGGGGCCTCTCCTCCCCGGGCTCCTGGGTCTTGGAACCCAACCCGCGCTCCGCCTCCAGCAGAGACTCGACGCTGAAAGTCAGTGGACTCGGTCCCGCGCCGCCCCCGCCGCGCGCCCTTAGCCCAGCCGAGTTCATGTCCAGCGACGCCGGAGCCATGCGCCGGGAAGACCGTGCGACGCTGACCAGGCGGGGATCGCGGGACGCAGGGGCTGTGAGCCGCACTGCTGCCCGCGGCTCCGTGGCGCCCCCGCCCTCCGCACCCTATAAAAAGGTGGCGCCGCTTTCATGCGCCGCTGTCCAATCGTGGTGGCGGCTGATGTTCGGTCCTCAGAGCCCGTTGGCTTCCCTGTCCCGGGAGGCGGGACGGACAGGCAGGGGCGGGGCCGCTGCTTGAGACCCGCGCGCCCTGGACTCAGGCCGACCTGGTCGCATCCGTGCCAAGCTCTCTCGACCTGCTGTCCTGTCCCCGAGCGACGTCCGCGGCCTTCTGATGCAGAGGAATCGACGGCGTGCGCCGCGGCATGGTGGAGCCGCGGTCGGCGGATCCCGCGCCCTGGAGAGCTCCGCGTGGTAAACCGCTAATCGCCGGCCTCCCGCAGTGTCGTCCGCTGTGGCTCGCCGACTGCTCTTCCCGCAGCGTCCTAGCCCCCCGGTGCAGAACCCTGGTGCGTGCCTGCTTTGGTTATGGCGCTGTCCCTGCACCCTGGCGTGCGCATGTGACAGACCCCGTTCCCGAGCTGGTGACTCTGCTTCAGGTCACTTGAAGCTGGGCCGCGATGTCCCTTCCACAGGGTAGCTGTTCTGGCCTTTGGAGCCGCCGAGCGTCCTCCATGGCATTGGCGGCCCCCAGCCTGCTTGTTTGTCCCAGGGCCGTGCCCTGGAAGCGGTCTGCGGGACGCGACGCAAGAGCAGAGGCAGAGGCCATGGGAAGGCAGCCGACCTCTCATTGGCCTCAGACTGCCGACCCAGGTTACTGGCGCCTCTGGCTGCCTGAAGCGTGGAGTCCGATGCTGGACAGCCTCTCTGCTCCGCATTTGCCGGGGCCCGATCGCCAGGGCCGACCCGTGAACCCAGAAAGGTCGGGGATCTGGGCGAGTACCGAATTGCTAATCAGGACAGGATCCGAGGCCCAGTAGAGCCCTGCGCTCATGAGAGTTCTTTTTCCAGAACCGACTATCTTTTGGTTTAAAAAGGCTCTAACGGTCGAGGGCGCGGCTTTACGGTCTCTTCCTGAAGGAAGGAACCCGGGCCTAAGTTTTGGAATACATCTTGGAGTGGTTTGAGCTGGCTTTAGGATCTGGTTAATATCCTAGAACACAGAGTAGCAATCATATGTGTATATTACAAAAACCAAAATCGCCTTAATGAAGTCCAGCTTTGGGGAACAGTTTAGTCCTGCTCAACCAGATAAATTAAATTAGAAAGTTTTTCTTCATGCAAATTTAGGAGCTGCTGAAAAGGGGCCCGAAGAGGGCTCCTGGCTGGCTAGGCTTGCTGTCTGCAGTGGGGATCAGTTCTTCCTATATTCGTAGATTGATTGGTACTTTCTAATGTAATAAAGATGTTCTGGGTTGATTCAAGATAATCGCCTCATTACAGAAGTTTCTTTGAAAGCCTTCTCCTGGCAGTATGTCTTTGCCAGGCCACTCATGGAGTGTTCAGTGAAGACTTTTAGTAAGGATGACAGGCGGCTAGCCTGGGACTGATGTGTATCCTCCTGGCCTCTGAGTGACAGAAGCAGTAGTCTGTGCTGTGGTTGGGCTGGCAGAGGGCCTGGGGTGGGAGGCAGGGGTAGTGGGGTGAGAAGGGTGTTGGTGTGGTGGCTCTGTGTGGGGAAACTGGAATTCTATGTGCCAAAAGGAGCCTGGGATACTGCCTGTGACCACCAAGAGGGACAGGAATGTCAGAGAGCACTCACTGACAGGTGTGTATGTGAGAAAGAGAGATTGGGGGGGGTGGTACAGTTTCTTTCCTTCCTGTATTGGTGCTCTTTTTAGTGCAGACTTGGTAGAGGAGGGCATGTGAGTGCAGACAGCAGGGTTGGAAGGGCTTTCTAGTGGAGCAAGGAAAGGATTTCCAAGGATCAGTTTCCCTGTAAGGTTTACGCCATCACATTTGGTACTTGACAGGACTAAAGCTCTCAGCCAGGCAAGGTGGCTCATATCTGTAATCTCAGCTACTCAGGTGTGAGACTGGTCCTGGGCAATACCTCAAGACTCCACCTGCAAAATAAAAAGCAAAAAAAGTGCTGGAGGCATAGCTCAAGTGGCAGAGAACCCACCTGTGAAGTGCAATGCCCTGAGTTCAAAGTACCAGTACTAGAAGAAAAGGAAGAAGGAGGAGGAGGAGAAAGAGAGGTAGAAGAAGAGGAAGAGGAAGAGGGGGAAGAGAAAGAAGGAAAGGGAAGGAGGGAAAGAGATAGAGGCACTTTCCCTTCTAGGCTCAGTCAGGGAGGAAGGCTCGACAGTTTGTAGTCAAGGCCATGGTAAATCCATGCCAGATGTGGGGATCTGTGTGGTGGAGGTGGCACCATGTATTGAAGAGAGTGGATACCAATGACTTGGGTCCATTCCTTGATGGAATAAACCTCACAGGTTCTTCCTGCTCTCTAGCAGTGAGTCATATGAGATCAGCAGTTTGTGGACAAGGGAGCCATTGCTGGCCGGACCCTCTTGCAGGCAACTGCCTCTTGTCTCATTCCAGGGCAATCACCGGCTCCAGCTTTTTCCCAAGGCCTAGCTTCTCAGACACTGATCCCCAAGGAAACTGCCGATCTCTGCCTTGTCCTCTTACACCATCACTGCCAACCATAGTCCTTAGACAGTGCCAATTCACTCTGAAGAGCCAGGGCTGTGCTCTCCCCAAGGGCATTTACATTGGAGCCTTTGGTTTTTTTCCTTTCACAACTTGTTGGAAAATTGCTCCAAACACAAAGAGGTGTTTCTCCCAGGACTCTAGCAAGAGGAAGACCAGTTGGAGTGACCCTGGTAGCTAACAGGTGTGAAGGAAAGTGAATGGGAAAATGAGGTACTTGGGTGGGATTTGAGGTGCACAGATGAGACATTCAGGACACAGGTGGGACATGAGGTATTATTGAACCCAGGTCTGGAAACTCATCCTCTAGAAAAACCAATGTCTGAGAGATGAGGTTGGGAAGAAAGAAAGGCTGTACTGAAGATGCTGGCAGCCTGGGAAGAAGGCAGACTGCTACCTCGATCTCCCTTTCGGGTCTTTGGGGGAAGCGAGAATATTTATGTGAGGCCCAGGCCAGGGGCAGGTGCAGAAGTCAGCTTGTACATGGAGCCTGAGGGAGGCAGTCTGGTGTTCTGCACCAACTGCAGGTGGCACACTCCCTGAGAAGGCAGTGATGGCAGTCTCTTATCTTGAAGGCAGGATGTTCCAGCTTTCTGCCAGTTTTGTGGTCAACAGCTGGAGTCTAGAATCAAACTCAGAAAAATAAGCAAAATCACAGAAATGCAGAGCAAAGGCAAAATCCTAGGAGTGTGACCCACAGGTTAAGGTGGCAGAGGAGCCAGACACCACATGATGCAGGAAGAGATGCCTTCTCAGCCTGTTCCAGTCACAGAGACTGAAGATCAGAGTAGGGGGTGACTGGGTCACACAGGATGGGGCTTGTCTGATCCTGGAATCCCTGCTCTTCCCTCTGTATGTGGCCTGAGGGGTGAGAGGTGGGTCTGGAACTGCTCTGGGCATAGCCCTGCTCTCAAATTTTTCCAGGGCTCCAGCAGGTTAGAGCAGTAGGGAGCTGGGCACATGGCATGTGGAATCTTTGTCCAGAAATCTGACTTCCCAGCCTCTGTGCCTATCACCATCCCCATCATCCCTCAGGTAGGATAGTAGCTGGCCTCTGTTCTGTTCAACCCAGCCCAGAGTGCTGACCAGACAACACAGAGATGGAAGGCGGGTGGTGGTTGGTTTAGACCAGGTGTCTGGGCCTCTGCTTGATGTGCCTGGTACTCATTGTGAGGCTGGCTGGGTTGTCCTTGTGGGCACTTCCTGGTCATAAATGCACCAAGGAGAAGGATAGGGCCAGGAATTTGATTCCCTAAGGATGGGTGAGTTTTCTGTGGGGTCTGGAAAGGGACTGCTCAGATGGGCCGAGAGGCTGAGAGCCTGGCTCCCTCTCTGTTCTGTCCTCCCCCCTCTTCCTGCCTCTCTTCCTCTTGTCTCTGTCTTTCTGTCTTCTTGCTCCAAGCTTCTCTCCCCCTCTCCCTTTCCTATCAGCCCTGGTTCTCCTCTTCCAGTGCAGGGAGGAGACTTGCTATGCAGGAAGCAGGGTCCCTTCCATCCTGGGGTGCCTGTCCCTGAGCCTACTTGCTCTATCTGGCTTATACAGAGAACCTGTTCAGACACTGAGCCTGACAGATGGACGGAGAAGAGGGGGATGAAAGATTACAGGGGCCTGTGGGCAAGCTGTCTCCCTGGATGGGCCTGGAATGGTCACCGACCCTCATCCAGGCCTGTACTTGCTGCACTGGTGAGCCGGTGGAACCCGGCACAGCCAAGGGACAGTCCTCACTGTGGTCAGGCCAGAGAGACATGGGAAGGATGTGGCCAATGGGTTCCCTCCAGGACAGGGGGATCTCTGGGGTCACTGGAAATCCTGGGAGGTGTGACCCCCACCAAGCCGATGGACACTGATGCCAGCTGTACTAATGCTAAGGATGGGCGTTGCACCCCACGCACATTTCCCTGCATGACAACCACTGCACGCTGCCCTTCAGCTGGGGCAGCCCAACCTCTGCTTTACCTGTACTACCTCACAAACCTAAAAAACAGCTTGCTTTCTGGAGGGATGATGAGCTGCGATTTTCTCACTTTCCTCTTTCGAACTTCTCTGGGAGAAGAGCCTGGCCCTGAGTTCCACCCTGCCCAGGACAGAGGAGGTGGGTGCAGCCCAATGCTAACCCCAGCCACTCCTGCATCTGTGGAGTGACCTGGGCCCGTGGCCTCTGAACAGGAAGTCAGGTGCATCCTTGTTTCCCTTCAGCTCCCCAGCAGAGCTGAGAAACACCCTCCTGGTAGGGTTTCCTGTGTCCATCGGGACTGGGGAACTGGTTCAGACCCAGCTGCAGAACCTCAGGCTTGCCCTGTGTCTCATCCCTGAGAGACTAGGGCTCACTGTGAGGGCCTGG